GTCAAAAAGGGATACATTCCAAAACAGCAGCTCTGTTGAATATATAGCAGCTGCATCTTCAATTAGGGTTTCCACAAAAAGCTAGGGTTAATTCCGTTTGACCTTAAGACTAGGTCACAGGACTTTATCAACCAGGTTAGGGTTGAGCTAGGTTAACCCCAAGTCCACGAGATTTTCTGTTCAGGAAAGACTGAGTCATAATCCTGAAAAAACTCAGAATTACCCAAACTGCATAACTGTTAGTTCAGAACAGGATGTCTTAACATCTGTTATGACATCTGAAAACCTGTCTACTGATTTAGGTAAATGTGATCTTTTTGCAAAATGCTCAGATACACACTTATAAACAGCAGCACCTGTATGACAATATTTTTCTGCAAAGGTACCTAATGAATCAGTACATACTAAACTAGAATGTTATGACATCAGTCATGACATTCACACACACACACACCTGGTTTTACCAAAAATGCAAGCCAATACCTAAACAACTACATTGACCATAGTTGATATTTTGATCGATATAGTTAATTTTCAAGCATTTGAGCCATTGACTGAGCAAACATGTGATGTAGGGCTTGAAACTTGACATGAACCTTGCTGAGGACCTATGAAGAAACATGGAAGTCACTTGAGACTTTTTCAGACCAAATTTCCTTGAGAAACTCCAAACCCTAGTCGTAGGCTTTTGGTCTAGGAGGTGCATCTTGACTAGTCAACCCTTGGGTGCCTTGACCATTTGAAGAGACTTGAAATAATGCTTTGAAGAAAATAGGAGGGAAAATTTTGGGGTACAACAGCATTCATTGTGTTTTTTGTTGGCATATTACCCTCTTTGCAGAGTTATGTTATCCTCTCTTCAATAGAGTGTCAACCTTAAGCATAAAGTGTATATCCTTTATATTTCCCCACCGAGTTATCACTAATGGAAGAATTTTTCTTTAGCCTTCCTACCCAGCTCATTATCTGGATGGAATTTGGTCCCCATTTTAGTCTATTCCTCACTGGATGGCGTCTTGGTTGACTGTTTCACTCCAGTTTGTTCCAGGTTTGAATTTTTGGTCCCGACAACAATATTATTTTGATCCCTATAGGCTGTAAGCCCTGGATTGAGAATGTGCATTTATTTTGCACGTGAAGAATTTATCCCCTCAACAGGAATGTATTGGTATTTCCCCACAAAATCAAGATTCATTTCCCAGTAGTGTTATCACAATAACAAGTGGCAATCTCTTTATTTGAGCAACCAATACTTCCCCAGTAAGTTTGTTAATGCCAGAGAAGATGTTTTACTCTGATGAACAGTAGTCTCTACATTATGGGAGATAGTTTATTGTTGAGGTTGGATTTACTCCAATGACAAAGACAATTTGTTGAAAGATTCTTACAGCAATTTATTACCCTTTTCAAGTGACATCTTGATCAAAGAAGAATTTGAGACTCGTTCTAGGTGGAATTCCAGAATTTTGGGAAACTTGTTATTGTTCTATGTTTTTCCTACCTTCATCCTTGAGTTGGTAGTTCAACGTCATTTGTTATTCGGTTTTTACCTCTTTCTCCTCATTGGACTTTACCCCAATTGAGTTGAGTTGTTCCCAACCATAAGTGCTGATGTCAAAACCTTTGTTCCCAACCATAAGTGTTGATGTCAACCTTTGTTCCCATCCATAAGTGTTGATGTCAACCATTTGTTCCCATTCATAGGTTATGTTATCAACTTTTATTCCCAACCACAAGTTCTGATGTCAACCCTTTGTTCCCAACCATAAGTGTTGATGTCAAACCTTTGTTCCCAGCCATAAGTGCTGATGTCAACCCTTTGTTCCCAGTAATAAGTGCTGATGTCAACCCTTTGTTCCCATCCATAAGTGTTTATGTCAAACTTTGTTCCCAGCCATAAGTGCTGATTTCAAACCTTTGTTCCCAACCATAAGTGTTGATGTCAACCCCTTGTTCCCAACCATAAGTATTGATGTCAACCCCTTGTTCCCAGCAAAAAGTCCTGATGTCAAACCTTTGTTCCCAACCATAAATTCTGATGTCAACCCTTTGTTCCCAACCATAAGTGTTGATGTCAACCTTTTTTCCTAGCCATAAGTTCTGATATGAAACCTTTGTTCTCAGCCTTAAGTACCGATGTCAACCCTTTTTTCCCAGCCATAAGTGCTGATATCAACCTTTTGTTCCCATCCATAAGTGTTGATGTCAAACCTTTGTTCCCAGCCCTAAGTTTTGATGTTAACCCTTTATTCCCAACCATAAGTGTTGATGTCAAACCTTTTTTCCTAGCCATAAGTGATGATGTCAACCCTTTGTTCCCAGCCATAAGTGTTGATGTCAAACCTTTATTCCCATCCATAATTGCAGATGTCAACCCCTTGTTCCCAGCCATAAGTGTTGATGTTAACCTCTTGTTCCCAACCAAAAGTGTTGATGTCAAACCATTATTCCCATCCATAAGTGTTGATGTCAACCTTTTGTTCTCAGTCATAAATGCTGATGTCAATCATTTGTTTCCAGTCATAAGTACGAATATCAATCATTTTGTTACCTACCTCAATATTGATGTTTACCGTCATCTTTGAGCTGGTATTATCTTACTGTTTTTATTCACGTCCTTCAGGTTGTTAATTTATGATCCCCTGTGAGTCGATGTTACTCTCTTTTTGATATCTCCTCTATGAGTGGGTAGTTCATAATTATCTATCGATCGTTGTTACCCATTGCTTTTTCCTTATTTGTTGAGTTGATAATACTCTGTCTCTTCTTTGGGCTTTACCCCAGCAGAGTTGCGTCTTCTTTTCCCCAACAGAGTTGATTTTCCTCCAATGGAGTTGAGCTTATTTTCCTAGTCGAGTCGGTAATCATTTCTTAATGATTACCTCCTTGATAGTTTGTTGCTTGCGTTGTTAAGAGTTCCCGTCGTTGAAATCTTACTATGCATTTGGTTTCTCTCATCGTGATTTTGACTTTACCTATTTATAGTCATCCCAAAGTCATGTTGTTCCCCATAAATTTATTTTCCTAGTCGAACTCTCTTTTTGTTCTGTTGGTTTTATTTTATGTTTCCCTAGTGGTGTTATGTGTCACCTACGAAGTTGGTCGTTTGCATTCACAATCATTAAGCATTGCATGACATCTTAGGACCAAAAATAGAGTTTCTTATATATTTAAGTATCTTCAATCACGTCGAGACGAAGATTTTAACCTTCATACCTTCGAATAGAAGACACTTAAATAAGGGCAGCTGTTATACCCCAATTTCCCCCCCTAAGATCCCTATATTATCTCATACCATCACAATGCATCAAGATCACACATTAGGGGTTTGGTTATCACTTCTACTGTTTCTTATCTTTAAGTTCTCCCTTGAGGGATCACCAAGCACCCTGGTTTTGTATAATTGAACATATATGTTTTATATTTTACTTACTTCTAACCAAAATCCAAAAATATGTCTTGTTTATCTTGTTTCTTTTAGAAAACAGGGTTTCCGATCGAGAAAATCAGGTGATGGTTCTCGGATTAGTGTTGTGATGTATTCAGGCCAAAGACTGGTTCTCAAAGGTTTATTTTTCAAACTGGTGATCTATAACTTTAGGTCACGCTATTGAAGCTTGATTTAGCATGGTTAAGGCGAGATTGGTTGCTTAATTTTCAAGACTCTTCGAGTTAAGTTCATGTGTTTATTTCCATACATTATTCGACGAGTAATATCAAAGTTTGACAAGTGAGAACATAGTTTAATCAAGAGTTCACCATCTAAAGTTCACATGTGTTTAAGAGTGCCTTGGGTTGTGGAAAAAGATAAAGTCTGCAAGTGGATTCAAAGTTGGTTGATCAAAAGTAAACATTTGCAAGTTCGAGTTCAAATAATCATAAATTTTTCTTTATTCAGTATTTTTAATAAATTGTTTGAGCATATGAATCTCCTTGACATCATCTCCAATTTCTCTTTACAAGTCGAGAGCTAATTATGTGTAGAATTCCAGCAAAAGTTTGAGTACATTAGAGGTCATTTTGAGAACTTTGACCTATTTTCAAGTGTCGGAAGACCAACTTTTGATGATCACGACTCTTTTAAGTTTCATAATTTTGAGACGATTCTTTTTACACGGTATCACAAGTGGCGTTGTATACAAGATTGCTTCAAGGAGTGAGGGAAGATTTTGTTTAGAAAGTTGTGGATTTTATTGGAACGTTATAGGGCATTTTTTGACACCATAAGTTTTAAGGTGGTGGTTTTGTTTATGTGGAGTTTCATAGGTTAAGGTTTTGATTGGAAAGTAGTGAACTATGTGCGTCAAGAGGAATTTAGTCAAGTTTCACGCTTCCTATTCCTACTCAAGTTAGATTTCCACAAAAATTCAAGAACTCAAAGTGATTTTTAAATGATTCAAGTTCAATTTTCAAGACTAAATGATTCAAATGCAAAATTGAAGAATTAATTCTTGAGGATTAATATACTCATCAATGTTACAAGAGCATTTTAAGTCCTTTTCATCAAGGAAAATTCAAAGAGATTTCAAGACATTATTCAAGTTTCAACTTCATTAATTATTCATCATTCAATCATTTCAAAGCTTTTTTCATGAAGTCAAATTCAAGGCATAATTTGTGTGTTTACTTGGTTCAAGCAAAGTTCAAATGCACATTAAATTGTCGCAAAATTCATGGTGCAACATAAGAGATTATTCAAGCTTCCAATTCAAGAGCATTCATGGTTTCAAAATATGTTCATCATTCACATCTCAAGATTTTTGTATCAAGTGCATCTTCACAAGTTTGTTCATGACAAAAAGAAAAATCTCCAAATATACAAGAGGGATTCAAAGTCTCTATGGCCTAATTCCAAATTACATAATCTTCTTTACCATTTACAAGAGAATTAAAAGTTTCCTATGCCTAAGCTACATCACAATGTCTTGATCCCTTTCTTGAGCTTAGAAGTTTCTCAAACTTGCCAAACCCCCTTCATGGTCTTACTATCACCATCTTCTCTAAATCTTGAATTCGCATCTTTTTACAAGATCTCCAAAATCTTCATGAATTTGCAAATTGCTCAAGAGAAATCTATGTCAACCATATCATTCAACACATGAAAAAAAGAAGAAAATTGAAAAGGTGTATTAGAATAAACAATGTCTTGTTGTCCAATAACCATTATTCATCAAAAAGATTCAACAAAACACTTGTTTTTATCATGACTTAATCCCAACAAATATCACAACTTCATCCCAATTTTAACAAAAACAATTCCAACATTCTCAACACTAAAACCACAATAAAACTCAAGGCCCATATGGCATTTCAAACCAACACAAAGATTGAAAAAAAGGAGATTGTTAGAGTGATAAATATTAATTTTCGGATTGGACTATGCAAGCAATTTTCATTAGAATAATTTCACCCCATTGTGTTTTCTACTCAAGCCCTAATATCAAGCTCTATTTAAACATTCATTCACAACTGACAGAGCAACTTTTATTCATTCATACACTGACAAACTCAGAACAAATTCCGAGCAAAACAAAAATTGTGACACTCACCTAAGAAATCTGCCGGAAATCTCCTTTTGGCCGGAACCGTGCCGGAAAGTTGTTACATCTGATCAAAACTGCACCTAATCCCGTCTGTGACCGAAATCTGCGCCAAAACCGCCCGATCCTAAAGAACCTCCACCGAAAAATGCAAATCTCCACCGGAATCTTATACTCTTTCATGTTTCTTAACTTTCGAAGGTTGATAACACCTCTCTCAAACCGAATTCGCTCTCTCCTTTACTTTTCTGTGATTGTTTTGTTGTTTTTAATTTAAAAACTCTTTAAACTGATTTGTAGATATTGTTAATTTCTTAAACTTTTTGAAAATTTGGACATCGGATTTGTAAAGAGAGGAGGAAAATGAATCTAAAAATGTGGGAAAAAAATTCTGAAACAGTACTACCTCCGCCACGCGCTGCACCGGGAGCCATCACCGGCCGCCGTGCTCCCTCTTCTCTGGCCACTTCTTCTCCCTTCCTCTATTATTCTGTTTTTTTTTTTAGTTTTACTATTTTTAATCTTTTTTTTCACATATTTGTGTGATTTTTATTGGTTTCAAAATACTTTTGCATATTAAAAAATTCTGAAAAATTGTCAATATTTCTTTTTTGGTATTTGGCTTATGGTAATTTCTTGAATTACACTATGTGTATTTCATCAATGAATTCCAATTAATTAATTATATTTTTCTTTTTGTTTTTGTTAATTGCAATGATATTTTGTATCTGTTTTATTGCTGGTCTTGGACCATAAATTTTTTTGTCATAAGCTTTATTAACATTATTGGATCTTGGGTGTTGAGTTGAACACCACCAAAATGGATGAATGACTTTAATGATAATTTGATTAAATTCTTTGATTCAAATGTGGAATTTAATTCTCATCGAAAGGCCAAAGGTTAAAAATGACTTACCTTGCTGGAGGTTGGAGCGTGTTCTGGACTTTGAAGCGGTTGCTTTGAATGCTTTTGGATTTGAAGGAAAAGACCCAGGGTAGGCCTTCGACACTAGATTCGAAAGAGCAAAACAAGTGAAATATCCTTCTTTACTGGATTCAAAGGAAGGAACAAGTGGGATGCTCCTTGAGTCGAAGGAAACTGGAATGTGTTGTTCTTAAGAATTGAAGGATGTAACGATGATTCTGTTTTTTTTTTTGATTTCACAAGTGTTGAAGTGTTTGAGTATTTTGAAGATACATTCCCCTCCTCCTCCTTCTTTTTTCCCCTTTCTTTGTGCAAATGAACTCTCTATTTATAGATAAAGGCTTTTGGGAAGCTTGGGGAGCAAAAATAATAAAATAAGGCTCAACTGGAAAGTAAGTGTCCACTTGTGCCATAAAAGCAAGATGAATGGTTCAGATGGGTTGCTTCTTTCTGAAGGAAAACAGGCGCAAGGCTCAAGACAAACTTTTCTAAAAGGTAGTATTATGCTATTAAGTGCAAGTGGTCTTGGACAACAAATGGGTAAAGGCCTATTTCAACTTGCATAAACAATTAAGTATAGGGTGAGTCATAGGTTTATGGCCTAAAAAGGGAAAACACGTAGCCTAGCCTATGGGTCTAAATGTTCAACTTGATCTTTTGAGTCGAATCCTCCATCTTTCTACACCTTTCGACCAGACTATAATAACACAACATTCATTTTCACCAGTTGTGTGTCCTTCGAATGAACCAACTGTGTGTTCTTCGACTGGGCCTTTTTAGCTGAATATGCCATTTTGAGTCTTCTTTCTTTTAATAACTTAGGCTCAAACCTTCGACCAGACTCCAAAGTAAGAGAACAATTATTCCCCAACTATGGCAAGTCCTTCGAATGGACCACCAAGTTGTGTGTCATAATGCAGGACTATGGCGTATTAAAGGGTTTACAGATGAATTCGAAGGTGATATGAAGGCGCGTACGAATCAAACATGAAGATGAATTTGAAAGTCACAGGAAGGTAGCCATTCATCCAATCGAAAACTTATGAATCCAAGGCAAACAGGTGAGGGGCGAATGGTGAAATCGAATGACACTTTTCAGAAGGTTATTAACTTCTGAATCGAAGGAAGCTTTCAGAAGATTATTGACTTTTTGAATTGAAGAAAACCAAAAGGAGGCCTTTACTTCCTGAGTCGAAGGACACTGTTTCAAAGGGAAACAAAAACTCAATTGAAGCTTGTATGAAGATCATTTCCTTCTGAGTCGAAGGAAGCTTTCAGAAGATTATTGACTTTTTGAATTGAAGAAAACCAAAAGGAGGCCTTTACTTCCTGAGTCGAAGGACATTCCTGAGTCGAAGGACATTCTTGAGTTGAAGGACATTCCTGAGTCGGAGGACATTCCTGAGTCGAAGGACATTCCTGAGTCGGAGGACATTCCTGAGTCGGAGGACATTCCTGGGTCGAAGGACATTCCTGAGTCGGAGGACATTCCTGGGTCGAAGGAAACTGTTTCAAAGGGAAATAAAAACTCAATTGAAGCTTGTATGAAGATCATTTCCTTCTGAGTCGAAGGAAGCTTTCAATACCCAAATGAAAGATGTAACCCAAGTGGCATGAAGCCCTTGCTCAACTGAAGCTTGCATGTAGGCATGGCCAGAGATGAATGCCCAAACGAAGGCTAACACACAGATATGCAGGAGGTGAATGACCAAATGAAGGCTTGTATGTAGGAGCTGAATGCCCAAATGAAGGATTGTATGCAGGAGGCACATTTGGCCACCAAATCATGGCCTTTAATTGCAAGCATGCAGGAAACAAACTTGTCCAATCGAAAGGCTTGCCTTCTAGGGGGCACTTGTGGCAGAAAATTTGGTACTCAAAGCAAACACGCAGGCAGTGGAAGACAAAAATGAAGCCTACAACAAGAAGTCACATGCCCAGACGAAAGAGGCACGCTAGTAGCAACTTTTGAGCAATCGAAGGAGGTGCAAATTCCAATTGAAGGGGGCTGAATCGAAGGAGACCTATTTTCCTCCAAATTTGTCAAAATGTTATTTTTATCTGTTTTCTCCCTTTTTGACAGTTTCCTTTTTATTCTGGTGCTGGAAAATCCCAATGTACTTGTGCCAGCTTGAATTTTGAGAATCATTATGAGAGATGCCTTGAGAATTGAGAGGGCAAATTTTGGGGTACAACAGCTGCCCATGTTCAAACTTCTTGAACCTGAAGAGTTAGATTGGCGGATCCGACATCCGTGACTTGATGGTGAAAGATGTTTGAACAGTAGAGTGCCCATAAATTTGCACTTGAAGATGGATGGTGAATGGGCTTATAGATGCCATTTGGAGGAATGTTGGTAAACTCTGGAATAAGTATCAACACAAATCTCCTGTTGATCCATACTAGACTTGATGTTTTACCTGTGAGAAAAGGGGTTAGAAAAAATGCAGATGCTTGCATGATACTTACCAGATGTGGTATCATGCTAAATTCATTGTTATGTACATGCTATGATGTATGAATGCAAAATGTGTGTTTTTGTCCGGGAAAATAAATCCCTGACTACTGCTGAGGAAATCTTCGGAGGTTGAATACTGGTTTGCATTTTGCGTATTTTGTTTGCAAAATGTCGCGGTAAGCAAGAGTCTCCACCGACTTTTATTTCATCCAATCATGGAAAAGGAAAAAGAACAGAAAAAACTTTTTTCGAGATATTTTGAGTACGGGGGGTTGATTATAGAAAGGGAAGGTGTTAGCACCCTTTCTATCCGTAGTTATCTACGGGCTCTTAGGTACTTGCTCATTTTTCAAATTGCTTGTGTGTGTTTGTCTTGAAAATGTTTTACTTCATGATAACCCTTGTATCAGTCCTCAAGGATGTGACGAAGTTGTTTTGAATTTTTTTTTTGAAAAGTGTTTGTGTGAAAAGTTTTCATTGAGAAAGTACTTAAGATTCTACCTACTCGAAAAAAGATTGTTTGTTCTATTTCCTTTAGATAGCGCTATCCCACTATTAAGGAGTAGGTAGCACCATCGTTGGAGTTTGTAAGGGACGTTCGAAAGGGAAAAATACAATCACTAAAGCAATAGTTAGAAAACTTTAGTAGTAACCCTAGAGTCTTAAGATCTTTTCGAGGAAACATTTCCGAGACAACATTCAAATGGGACAATTCAATCTCTTTAGACTGGAGGGAAACCACTAAAATCTCCTTTGCTTAATGATTGTTTACCGAAGGCAACCTAAGTGGGGTAAACCCTAGGAGTGAACATGTGCGAGTGATTTGTTTCAGTTATTTAATCTTTGCACATTAGGGTTTTCTAACTGTTTTAAATTTTCATGCATTCTTGCCATACAATCCTATTAATACATCTAACAATTAATAATTTGCTGAAAGTAAAAGCGGAAATAAACCTAGCTGTTACATGGCTTCGACAGTTACATAATTGCCTTGACGGGAAATAAAATTACGAAATTTAAAACCCTAATTAAAACTATTACAACCTTGAAACAGTTACAATAATAATAAGAAAGAAAATTAAAAAACGCGCGGTAAATTAAATAGGAGAGAAATTAGGGTTTTGACCCTTGACTAAATCTAATTGCAATTGATTAAAGAAAAATCATTTTTTTGTCATTTTTTGTTATTTAAGAAAATAAGGAATAATTGAATAAAAAAAAGAACCTAATTACTAATTAACTTTAATTAAGAAAAATAATTAAGTTAACCTATTTTTTGTGTTTTTGTTTGAAAAAAAAGAAAATAATTACATCAAGAATTTAAACCTAGTTTTATAATTGATTTTAATTGTAAAAATAAGTTAAAGTTACCCTAAATTAAATTAAGCTAATTAATTAAATTAAATTTGATTAAAAAAAACCTAACTCTAATTTTTATGATTTTTTGATTTTTATGATTTTATAAAAAAAAACTGATTTTAAAAATAAAATAAATAAATAAATAGAAATGAATAAAGAAAACAAAATAATAAAAAAAGAGAAAGATTGAGAATTGGGCCTGATTGTGCTGCTGAAGAGGGGGTGCCAATCTGAATTTTGTAAGGCCCAATATTACTGAGCCCATCTGTCTGCGCTAGTTCCAATGTCATGGCTTTCTGGGGGTCTACCGTGTGGTTGCAGCTTGGAGGCGTTAGATTTGGTCAATGTGTAAACCAGTGGAAAGGCATTGAGGGTGTATGGTGGTCTCCTGGAGATGAAGCGCATTGGATCCTGTGAAGAAAATATGCAAATGAGAAAATGTTGGAGTCAGGGGTCGAACCCCTGACCTTCTGCCTACAACGCCTTATCCCTCCTCCTGGCTACCACTGGACCAACTGCTTAATTGATAATATAAATGAACAAAATATAATATATTAGAAAAATGTTAATAGCCAGGAAAACACGTGCGAGATTTGAATTGGCCTACCGTGCTTTGACACGCATCATCTTCTTCCCTGGACCGTTGTTTCAGGTAAAACACTTTTACCTACGGACGTTTGTTCGTAGCTATAAACCTGCATCATTCAATAATCAAACACACACAATATAAATTCATCTGGGGACCATGAATCCACTGGGTTTGAAGCCCTGATCATCATGGTACCCATTATCAAACCTAATTTTTCCTAGGTTAAGAAACCCCAAAACAAGCTCGCAAACCCTAGCTATGGCATATTGCGATTCCTGCGCTGTAAATGCAATTAAATGGTACCAATAGCTTGAAAACAAGATGATGAATAAGAATATATAATTAAAACATGCTAATGATGCCAAAATCAAGGAAATCAGAATCGTAATTTTGGGCAAACTGTGGTTCATGGTGGGCGCGATTCTGAATGTTTCAGGCCTTGCAAATGAGTGGAGAAGCTTCCTGAGATATCCAGGAACATATTGCTAACCTTGAAACTCCTTGAGGATGGCTCTAAGATGGATTTTGATCTCACACTTTTGTCCAAATTTTTGAGTTTCTTTCTTGCTGTTTCATGCCTCCAATCCTTGTGTTTTGGATCTGGAATTATTATGCACTTATAGTAGACTGAATTAGGTCAACAAAATTGTATCATATCTTTGAGAATTATGAAAATTGGATTTGATTTGCTTCATGTATGATATCGTTCTAAAACAAGCTTCAATCCAATCTTTTTCAATCCAAATCCACTTTGCATGAATTGGTTGGCATGTTAGCTGTATAGGGACTCAAAATGTGCACAAAAATCCCAAGATTTGATTTGTTTTCATTATTTTACCATTTAATTGATTTATTTTGATTTAAATGAATAAAAAATAAAAATAAATGATAAAAGTAATAAAATAATAGGTGGAAAAGCTCAGGGCTCGTGGGTCCTATTAGAAACATGTTTCAAGCAAGAAAACACGGGCCCATTTGGAAAAAAATGCAAATTTGATCAATGTTGACTTTTGACAATTTTCCAAAAATTGCTAACTTTGACAATGCACAACTCTCTCAATTTTGACCCTAGGAGGGTGTTCTTGGACTTTTTAGAAAGCTTATGATGTCCCCTAAACAAAACTTTTAGCCTCATCTCAATTGAGTCTTCCATGTTTATGTATGAAGCTTTGACCCAAAAGGTGTTTTTGTTGACTTTTCAAAAGGACCTATAATGTCAAAATTCATATCTTTTTGTGAGTGCATATTTTGGACTTGGGAAATGAAGATGGGTTGTAGGGAATTGTATCCTATTCAAAATGAGCCTTGGATGGAAAATTTATGATAAAGTATGAAGAAGTTATGCTTGGTCAAAGTTGGGTTGACTTTTACTAAGAAACCCTAATTTAGCAACTTTTGGGTTTTGATGAATTTGGAGCATTCCTTGAGGAATCATGATCAACCCTTGATCAAATGATGGAAGTCACTTAAAAATGTTGACGTTGACCAAAATCTTGAGGTTTGACTGTATGTGGGCCACAATTGACTTTTGACCTAATACAATCGATTTCCCAAGCATCTAAGCAGTTGTCTGAGCAAACTTCTTATGCAAGGCATGAAACTTGACATGTAGGGTATTGAGAACATATTAAGACCATGGAGAGAATATGAGACCTTTTTAGTCCACCCATCTTGATGAAAATAGAAACCCTAATTTGGGGTATACTGCCTTAGGAGAGAGTTTGTCTAGTCAACTCTTGGGCAACCTTGAGCAAATTGGGGACCTCACTTGACATTTGTTGAGTAAAATGAGAGGGAAAATTTTGGGGTACAACAATATGCATATGAAACACATCATTACATAGTGAATTACATACATCATGACATTGCATAGAACTAACTTTGTCTTTTCAGGTTAAGTTCATAAACAGACGAATATTATAGGCCAATTAGAGACAGGTTGTAGATCAATTCTCAAAATAGGATGGGGCGACTATCTACATGACAAGAATTTCCTTCATAATTTTATTCTGAAAAGCATCTCCTTCAGCGCTTCATTCTGAAAAGCATTTCCCCTTCAGAGACAAAACCATGAAAAGTATTC